TACGCCGACGCATGACTAATTTCATTGAAGAAGGAAACTACGACTCGGTCACCCGCAATGAGTTAACAATCCTCGCACAGAATCATACAAGAACAAGTACCAATTTCAGTATAGAAGGAAAAATGAGCAATTCACTAGTACCAGTTTTGACATCACTTAATGTTCCAACCATGGCTTAAGTAAGAAGCTGGTCAGTCCAATATAATGGTGGAAGAGACCCGCTAGCCTTTATCGAGAGAGTTGAAGAAGTAGCAACCATGGAAAATATCGACCTCAATGCTATTCCACGCACAATGCCAGAACTCCTGAAGGATAGAGCTTTAATGTGGTATCGAAACAATAATAGACAGTGGCAACTTTGGTCTCAATTTAAAAACGACTTTCTTCAATTTTTTTTACCTGCGCGATACTTCGAAAACTGGAGGACGAAATCCGGTCGAGACAGCAAAAACAGGAAGAACCGTTTAAAGACTATGTTTTAACACTTCAGAATTTAATGCGACAGGCCGATATTTCTCCATCACAACAACTCGAAAGGATATACAGGAATTCTCTAATCAGCTACCAGATGTACATCAAACGAAGGGACTTTACGACGTTGGATGAACTAATCATTTTAGCGGAAGACTTTGAGACGTTGATACATGGGCAAGACAAACCTCAATCCAGTCGTCCGAAAGACGAACGCAACCATCTACTTAAAGCTTACGAGGAGAAAGTTTCAAATCCCCAACAGGCCTGCCGTCGATGTGGGATATCGGGGCACGTAGCAAGGCAATGTCAAAATCGTTTAATACAATTTTGTTGGGAATGCGGTAACAAAGGAGTCCGCACAATCGAATGTTGCCGTAAAGATTCGGGAAACTTCAGACGAGTCCGTTCTATGACAGGAGAGACAAGCAACCCGCGATTCCATCCTGTCCCAACGCCGAAGAACCCATTTGCTTAAAACGCAATCGTCTTCTAGCACGAATACGATTAGACGACCATCCCCTGGAAGCTACACTGGATACGGGAGCGTCAAGCAGTTTCATCAGCCTGGCACTGGTTCAAAAATTGGGCCTCACGTTACATAAAAATAAGATTTCCATAAAGGTTCGTCTTGATAGATAATACATGTTCAGACGTATATAGAGGCAAACGTTCAATTGGGGCAAAAGAATATGCGACAGAAGTTGTTGATTTTAAATGAAAGTACGGATGAAATCATGTTAGGTTTGGACTATTTTCAAGCAATAGGCACATCAATGCAAATAGGAGATCATCTCATCGTCATGAGTAATACGGACCCCCCATCAGTGGAGAAGTATATACCCAGTGCGTCTCTAGCCCAAACAGAACACGAAGCTACCATTAAGGAATTCCTGGACAAAGAACTTAAATATTTCCATACCATGAGTGGCGTCTCGAATATCACCACCCACAAGATAGTGATGAAGGACGACCGGCCTATTAAACAAAGATATTTTCCTAAGAATCCCGCAATGCAGAAAATTATCGACGAAAAGGTGAATGAACTACTTGAGAAAAATTGTATCGAGCCATCCAAAAGTCCCTACAGTGCCCCGGTGGTCCTGGTAAAGAAGAAAAATGGCACATGGCGTTTCTGTGTAGACTACCGACAACTAAATGCGAATTCCATTCCAGATGCCTATCCCTTGCCTCGCATTCACCACATTTTAGATCGCCTTCGCAATGCAAAATTCATAAGTAGCATTGATTTGAAAGATGGTTATTGGCAGATTCCCATGGACGAGAAGAGTAAACCACTCACAGCTTTCACAGTACCAGGACGAGGACTATTCCAGTGGCGCGTACTCCCATTTGGTCTACACTCCGCACCCGCTACATTTCAACGAGCGTTAGATCAAGTTATTGGAGCGGACATGGAACCACATGTATTTGCGTACTTGGACGACATCATTGTCACGGGTACCACATTCGAACATCACGCACGTAACCTAAAAGAAGTACTATGCCGTCTCAAAGCAGTCAATCTAAGGATAAATGTGGATAAATGTGAGTTTTTCAAAACAGAGACAAAATATTTGGGACACATGATTAGTGCCCAAGGAATCCATACTGATCCGGATAAAATCGCCGCCATTCGAGATCTCCCCACCCCAACTAATATCAAACAAGTAAGGCAATTTCTCGGTGTAGCTTCATGGTATCGACGCTTCGTACCTGACTTTGCACGAATTATGCACCCACTCACGTCGCTATTAAAAAAAGGCAAACATTGGAAGTGGACAGAAACGCAACAAAGAGCCTTTCAGGAGATTAAAACGCGCTTAACCGAAGCACCGATTCTAACGTGTCCTGATTACAATGTCAAATTTTGTCTGCAAACCGATGCCAGTGACATTGGCTTAGGTGCCGTATTAACACAAGAGATTGAGGGTGTGGAGAAAGTAATAGCGTACGCCAGTAGGCATTTGACCGAAACTGAAGTAAAATATTCTACAACCGAGAAGGAATGTTTAGCAATTGTATGGGCAGTGCGCAAACTGAGGCCATACTTGGAGGGATACCATTTCGTCATTATAACCGACCACTTAGCATTGAAATGGCTCAATTCCATCGAAAACCCAACAGGGCGAGTGGCCAGACCAATAGAGGATGCGAAAAGAATCATAGAAGAACTCGAAGGTGAAGCACAGTGCAAATGGTATGAACGCAAAGTTGAAGAGGTCAAACGTAATCCAATACAGAGTCCAGATTTTGCCATCCAGAATGAACAACTGTACAAATGTCTTCCAGCCGATCGAGAAAGTCATACGGAAAGTCGTTGGAGGCTATGTGTGCCTGAAAATGTGCGGCAACGAGTCTTAGAGGAGAATCACGATAACACACCGGCCGGACATTTTGGTATTCGCAAGACCATTGCGCGTATACAGAATCAGTATTATTGGCCCGGTATGTCACGTGATATTGCTAAACATGTAAGAAGATGTGAATTGTGCCACAAATACAAACCAAGTTCAAACAAACCGGCAGGAATGATGCTGACTACAATCCCTGAAGAACCATTTGCTACCATCACAGCCGATTTTATGGGGCCATTACCGCGATCGAAAAATGAAAATACAATGCTGCTGGTGATATTAGATAAATTTTCAAAATGGACAGAGATGATACCAATGCGTCGAGCGACATCCGACAATGTGATCAAAGCGTTGAGAGAAAGAATATTAGCCAGATTTGGGTCACCCAAAGATATCATTACTGATAACGGGCCTCAATTTACTAGTAACGTTTTCAAACAATGGTTGGTAAAGATGGGCATTAAACACAGAACCACAGCCCCGTACACGCCACAGGAGAGCCCTACTGAACGAGCGAACCGAACTATTAAGACGCTAATGTCGCAAACGGCACGCGAAGAACATCGTACTTGGGATGAAATATTACCGGAAATAACTCTAGCCATTAACACTGCGAAATCAGATTCAACAAAATACACTCCAGCCTATCTAGTACAAGGGCGAGAGTTGAGACTCCCTGCCAACTTATTTGACGAATGCACCCCAGGAACAAGAAATCCTCAAGTAGCTCCAGCAGCAAAAGCCGAGAAACTGCAACGTGTGTTCAAAACCGTTCAACACAACCTGCAACAAGCCGCAACCAATCAAGCGAAATATTATAATTTGCGTCGTCGGAATTGGAAGCCACGGATAAATCAACTAGTGTGGGTTAGACAACATCCCCTCTCAAATGCCAAAAACGATTTTTCAGCAAAACTTGCACCGAAATTCGACGGGCCATTCAAAGTACAAAAATTTATATCTCCAGTAATAGTTAGTCTGAAATCCATCAGAACGGATAAAATAATAAAGGCTCACATCGCTGATCTAAAGGTATATTATGAAGACCAAAAAATGATAACCCCAAGAACATATTAACATCTATAACATGGGTAATAAATGTTTCGTCATATAAAATACTTCCGAAAAATTAGCGGTGTCAATGCCTCAAAATACCGACTGTAGGGTACATCGTAAAAAACTTATCAACACCTAAAGGATAACTTTATTAACAAATTAAGTTAAAGTTTAAAATTTACGGTAAAACAAAACAATACCGATATTCCTTAAAGTATAAAAAGAAACTTACTCAGATAATGCAGTCAATTACACAGATTAGTAAATACCGTCAAGATAAGCTAGCAAGACAAAAAATTCAAAGCATCTATTATCAAATTTCGACAACGTTTGGAACAACTACAAGAGCGGAGGCCACGTACGAAATATGCACCGGTGGTCGAACCCAAATTAAAAATCAGGAGCGTAGTACATAAAATGGTGAACAGTTCCAAAATGATAAAAGCAACTAAACAAGTAAAAGCAGTTAGCAGGAGTAATAACGGAAACGTCAAAATCTTGCCAAAAGTAACACCGGCAGATCGCGCTACTAGTACTCGTGCGGTTGGATGGCGAAGAAGCAAAGTTCTGTATGAAGAAAAAGACCAAACCAACATCGCCACGGCTACAATAGACATCAACGCTAATACCTCGTCGTCGCAGCAGACAAGTAGAATCGTGTGGGAGCCCATGAAAACACCCGCACATGATATCTTCGAGGATATTATTGAGTTAGACTGCAATTGGCGTCAACTGGAGGCCATGATGGATAGACCAAATTCACCGCAACAAGCCATTTCAAGGGAGTCACCATTACCAAACGTAACTAGTCTAACGGAGCCAGAAACAGCAATGAACGTTGATGTGAAGTCGATACCAAAAAAGGTAAAATGTGTTAAGTGGCCAGAAGAATTACAAGCAGCAATAAATATAGCATATCAAAAGCATAAAACTGGGAAACGGATGGCATTTCGGCGAACATTTAATAACATCACTTATCAAGTTCGGCTGAATCGCCAAGGTATAGCAGCACTTCAAATTGTCAGTTAACTCACACCGGTTATTTTTTTTATCCAAAGAAGGAGGGAAATGTAAGGATGGAAATTTTCAATTAATTTCCACCTACATAAAACACTATCACTCACCAACAAATTCTGGAGATATCTGAAATTAAAATTTAAATTGAATTAAAATTTGTTTACATGTATATATTAATTATGTTATGCTTACTTGAAAATGCTCGCCTCTGCAGCACCCGTCAACATTGTGGCTAGGTTGTACAAACTATAAATTGAAATATAATATTTTAAATAAAATTAAGATTAATTGGAAAAAATATACGCACCAATTTTTTATTTTTTTATTTTTTATTAAATAAAATTAACAACAAAAGGAAAAAAACCACCACCGAAACAACACGTTTGCAAACAAATCAAAAGAATAGAATCGCGAAGTAAGAAACAAGAACTGTCAAAATATTCGCCGTAAGAGAGGCTCAAAGAGAAGCTGAGTGCGCATACAAAATACCGCACACAACATGAAATAGAAAATCAATAAACGGCAAAGTAAAGAAGAATAATGTACGCTCAGCTGTAAACAAAATTATGGCGCTACACAAAAGCTCGGTCGAATGGGTATATAAGACGCGCAATTTTCTTACACCAGAGACTTGGCATATAATCACTAAGGCACATACACCTAGTAAAAAATAAAATAAATTCAAGTCCAAAACAAAGAATAAAGTCGAATTATATTATCTCAAGTGGTCGAATTACGTCTAGCGTAGATAATATAATTTTACAGAATATTTATACAAAGGATAATTCCCCATCAGGAATTATCAATACAAAGCTAAAGCAATTCAAATCAATAATTCTACATCAAGAATTATTGCACAAAGTCGAATTATATTATTTCAAGTGGTCGAATTACGTCTAGCGTAGATAATATAATTTTACAGAATATTTATACAAAGGATAATTCCCCATCAGGAATTATCAATACAAAGCTAAAGCAATTCATATCAATAATTCTACATCAAGAATTATTGCACAAAGTCGAATTATATTATCTCAAGTGGTCGAATTACGTCTAGTGTAGATAATATAATTTTACAGAATATTTATACAAAGGATAATTCCCCATCAGGAATTATCAATACAAAGCTAAAGCAATTCATATCAATAATTCTACATCAAGAATTATTGCACAAAGTCGAATTATATTATCTCAAGTGGTCGAATTACGTCTAGTGTAGATAATATAATTTTACAGAATATTTATACAAAGGATAATTCCCCATCAGGAATTATCAATACAAAGCTAAAGCAATTCATATCAATAATTCTACATCAAGAATTATTGCACAAAGTCGAATTATATTATTTCAAGTGGTCGAATTACGTCTAGCGTAAATAATATTGTAACGACACGGATTCGTCGTTTTTATTTTGCTGAGGTATTACTCAGTCGCGGTCCGGGTCGTTGCAATAAATTTGTTTTATCGACTAGTTCGAAGCTGGTAAACCAATGAGAATTAAAAGACCGTTTGATTGTTTTAAAAAAAAACTTTATTTATTAAAAATATTTCTTTAATAATTTAATCTAGTCTTGATTCTACTCAATAATTAAGCTTGACTCTACTCAATAAGTTTTACCCAAAGACGTCAGAACATCAAAGGGTTTTTTTCAAATCTACGCAATTAGTTTTTAGCCAAAGACGTCAAAACATCAAAGGCGTTATAAAATCTATTCAATAAGTTTTATCCAAAGACGTCAGAACATCAAAGGGTTTTTTTCCAAATCTACGCAATTAGTTTCTAGCCAAAGACGTCAAAACATCAAAGGCGTTATAACATCTACTTAATAGCTTCTACTGATTTATTTAGCCTTAGCGTCGAAACACCATGGTCTTCAAAAAGGGACTTAGCGCTGGAGTAGTGATCTACTCGCTTCGGTGTGCCGGTGCTAAGTGATCTTTCATACAAAATCTCCGCTATTTATATACGACACTTTGCTTTGCTTAATTGCACGCACAACCGCACAAGTATAATTCGCTGTCAGCTTTGTTATGCTTGTCGTGTGTGCGTATGTTCGCGGTTGGCTTTGTTTTGCTTGTCGTGTGTGCGTGTGTTCGCGGTTGGCTTTGTTTTGCTTGTCGTGTGTGCGTATGTTCGCGGTTGGCTTTGTTTTGCTTGTCGTGTGTGCGTGTGTTCGCGGTTGGCTTTGTTTTGCGTGTCGTTTGTGCGTATGTTCGCGGTTGGCTTTGTTTATTTGTTTAAATATATAAATCGAGTTTTATCCAGACGATTTTTAGTAAAAAATAATAAGTTTTATGTAGGGCGGAATTTGTACAAAATTCCGTCCTTACAATATAATTTCACAGAATATATACACGAGGGATAATTCTATATCAAGAATTATCGATATTAACCATATTTTTTCCCCTTAGTAAACTCCAAACTAATAAAGCGAATTACCACATCCGAATAATTCTTGGAAACACTACAGAGCATCCTGTTATAATTAAATCAATACAGAAAATCTAAGCTATCAAGGTTAATCACAATATCCGAATAACTATTGGAAACACTACAGAGCATTCTGTTATAATCAAATCAATACAGAAAAATCTAAGCTATCAAGGTGAATCACAACATCCGAATAACTATTGGAAACACTACAGAGCATCCTGGTATATTCAAATCAATACAGGTCCTTTGGAAGATTTAAGCAGTTACTAATAATATTAAGCTAAACTTTACCAATATTTGTTAATTTTAATAATTTTATTCTACTAAATAATAAAATCCAGAAAACATAAACGTATCTCTGAATATTTTAGTTATATAAAATTTATGGTAAAGCAACGACTACAAGAAAGGGTCGATACAACACAATCTTTTATTTGAGAAGTCTTGTCTTTGTAAATACAAATTTATTGTAACGACTCCTGGAAACGACTGAGGTTACTCCGGCAAAGGAAATAACGAAACGGAAAATCCGTGTCGTTACATAACAAATAAAAAACCACGTACACACACCGAACTACCACGAATAACCACCAAACTCAAAGTGTCTACAAAAGGGTGGTGTTATAATACATTTCGCTTTATTTAAACAAATGTTCAAAAAGGTGCAATCCCAATGTACTGTGTATTTGGTTCACGAACAAATATATATAAAAAAAAAATAAAAGAAAAAAGTTTGTGAGCATCAATCTCTTCATCAATAGTCAAACAACATGGAGTTTCTTTGAGTGCATCAAATTTTTATTCATATACACATATATATTTATTTCCATAAATTCTCTTAATTGTTTTTTTAGCTAGGTACCTGGAACACACGAAATGACGGCGTTTCGGTGAAAGTAGTAAGTACCTAGTGTTAAACTTAAAGAAACGTCAATAAAAAAAAAAAATGGTGTAATAGAACTAATAAAAAAAAAAGATTTAAATAATTTGATGTACGACAAGAATATCTGATTTTGTATGTATGGATTCATGAAATTTATGTCAGTAAAAGTTAAATATATATATTTATATGGAGAGTTGATCGTGTATATTTTGTTTATAAAATAGTTTTTTTTTCATATATGATACCTAAATAAATTGTTTTTTTTTTTATTTATTATTTTCTTTTGTTATTGTAAACTGATATTTTTAAGACTCAATAAATGTAAAAACAATTATTAGAAATTATAAAATAATTGGTTATAATTCATTTAGTTGGTTATTATACTTCTTGAGGTGTGAGATTTGTTTTATCGGGCTAGTAGAGATAGCTGTATTATGAATTAAATACCAGTAATGGTGTCATACTCCATTGCGCACCGCTTAAAAACGAAGATAACACTTGGGCGCGCATTAACGAAGAAAAAGCAACTGTTCTCGCTGAGTATTTTAAGAGCACATTTACAAATTCTAAAAATGATACAAACCATGCACTACCCAAGAACCTGACCCAGAAGAATGTTAAAATTAAGAAGACAACGATTGCTAAAATATAAAACATCATCGACGTTAACATCAACCCAAAAAAATCACCAGGCTATGATGTGATATCTGGTAAATTTCTTCTAGAATTACCTGTAATAGCTATCATTTACATTAGAAACATCTTTAACTGCATGATTAGCAATAAGATTTTCCCGTTTGTTTGGAAAGTAGTAAACAATTGAAGTAGCGAATGCTTCAATTGTCAACATTACAGATCGATTATTTACTACTGAAGAGCTACCTTAAAGATAGATACTTCTTTACAGTAGCGAGGTGTCAGCTTTTTGGCAAGGTGTTCACAATTTGATCAAAACAGAATTCCAACTATAACGTTTTCCCCCTACTTCTGAGTTTTGTCCTTTACACAAGCAAATAGCATACAAAACCAACAAAACAATTTATTTAAATGTTCGCAGCCTGTGATCCACTGGTTTTTATGGTAAATAGCTGTAGGAAGACTTACCACAGATTTCGACATTTTTACATCAGGTACCAAATTCTTCATATCTGGAGTTGGTCTATTCATTTTATGAATTAAAATCTTTTTTTCAGAAGATCGTTTAAAAAATGATATTTGAATCAAATCTTTAATCACACTTTTATCCATTTCTAAATATTATTTTTCACTTCAAGTTTCTTTAATTTTTTTCTTTACTTTTACCATTTAATACTATAAAATTGCAATATTGACTTTGTTTTTGGTTTATGTCCAACATCTATATAAGAGTAAGAAACTCTCATGCATTTATTTACTCTTTTACTTTATATTTACTATGGGCAGTTCAATTTTTTTATTGAACCATTTGCCCATATAAAACGGCCACCGTGACTTTGATTGTATTTGCACGCTTTGTATGAAGTTGGGGTTCAAATTGGTCGAGTGAACCTCTAGTCAAATGTAAAGCGATTTTCGCTCAGTCATTTCTTTTCTCTTTTGTATTTACTTTGCATAACATTGGAAGTTCACTTTTTTATTGAACCTCTTGCACGCATTAATTTAAGAGTTATAATTATTTTACGTACTTATTTTGCGGGGTTTGTTTTCTCTTTTATTTTTATATTTGTTTGTATGTTTTGCGTTTCTTCAATATTGAACATAGTCCCAATGTGCATGTTATTTCATTTGCATGCTTTGTAATCAGAGCGGTGCAGTTTTAATTCTGAACCTTAGTATATTTGAAGAGGAATATATTTTCTCTTTTATTAATTATAAGTAATGTTGGGTGTAACTAACATATGTATGTGTGGTTTTGTTTGTATTGTACGTTTTTTGTTTATGTTAATCTG